CAGACATTTTAAATATTTTATTCACTTTAAAATAGCTGCACAAATAAGTTAGATGGATTTTCTTTACATCAGCTGACGTGCGAACTGCTTTTAATTGTGAGACAAATAAGATCAACCCCATCAGTTACAGACCACATACGCGTTGATTGCACGCTGCAAGTCATATCTTGTCGAAATCGCTAATCTCCGTACCTTTTACTTTATTTTCCCGAAGCATTTGCTTGCAAGGAAGAGGTAGAGATTATGAATACGAATTAGAGCAAAACCTTTTACTTCTACCGTTTGCTTGTACCTTTTACTTCAAAGTAAATGCTTCATTTTTATAAATACGGGCTATTATGCTTATACTTCTACCTTTTTCTCCGAAGCAAGACCTTATACTTTTACCTTATGCTTCCGAGGATATGCTTCTCTTTTATGAATACGGCTCAATATGAAATAGGAATTTTTGGTAATAATAGTAGTTTGGTTAACAGTAGGCATGGAATAAAGATGATAATGCTTAAATTTGTCTACGTGCAAAAGTGGAACATGTAAGGCAAAAAACTAGTTGATTTTTGGAAAAATATGTTTCTACTGAAATTATGTCGTAAAGCTTATAAATATCTTTGATATCTGAATACACCAACTGAGCTTTATTTCTAAATATCTATATAGTCTACAGGGATTCCCATCAAATTCTGGGACAATTTGGAGTAGTTTTATGTCGAACTGGGGTGCACTATTTCTACTGGGGGTCGTCAGTATTATTTTTTCTATAGTTTCGTTTGCTTGTCTTATTTCTCTACTTCCTAATTCTAAGCTTGCTATGCGATTAGCGATTTGACCTGCACTATCACCTTCGATATACAAGTCGGGGTGAGTCACTCATGAAAAAAATAGGATACAATGAGCACCTACTGATAGGTTCAGTACTTCATTCCGTTTTTGGCCTAGGTTCCTCAGGCCAATAGGACAAACAACACTCCACGCACAAATATTCATTATCATCATGACCTTCGTTTTTGGCCCTTTTCATGGGAATTTCATCATCATCATCTGAAGTCCAAGTGTTATTGCTGACTTTTGCATTGGATGTGGCTTTCTTGATCATTTTCACGAGGGGCTCATCATCATCTGAACTCCAGGTGTTATTGCAGGTTTTTGCTTTGGAAGCATCTTTTTTCACATGCGTATTAATTTTCTTGCCGGGACCAGCTCCAGCACGGTCATCTTTTTTCCTTCCTTCCGCGTTTTTTGTTGCTCTTGCGTAGGGTGTTTTATTCTTTTGTTTCAGTTTTTCAGTATTTTGCGGCGAATTCAAAACCGACGCAACTTGTTTTTTTCCGCCAAATAATGGAATTGGAAGCACAGGAACAGGAGACACCTCATGGAGAAGCTTTGTTGCGTAAATTCAGGTCCATCGCCTTCTACCATGTCATCTACAACTTGATCATTACCATTTTGATGGATGAATGGATAAATTCCAGTGTTTTAAACCCATTGATAGCATTAGCTAAACAAGCTGCTTTCATCCACGCTTTTCCAATAACTTCTCCAGCCTGGTATCTCGTGAAATTTCTGTTACTGTGGTGTTTCATCCAGAGGTGAGCTTTTTGATTAAAATAAACTTTAAATGGACGAAAGAAACTCCTGTCAAGAGGGTGGAGAGCCTGTGTACAGTGACTGGGCAAACAAAGGATAATAATGTCGTTCTCATCCGCTATCTGAAGCATTTCTATATTTGTGCTATGAGACGTATGACCGTCAAGAATTAACACGCACTTACCGGCTGGTTTATGTGGTATGAATTGCTCTACCAACCACTGAACGAAGAGCTCCAAGCCATCTGAAAGCTCCGGAACTGGAGGAATGAACGTGCCATCTGCACTGCAGCAAGCAATCACTGTGGCATTCTCTCCGCGTTCCTTCGACGTTAATACATGTACATCTTTGCTACCTTTCTTCGTTACAACTTTACTAGGTTTATTTTGGAGTTGTACGCCTGTTTCATCCATGTTAAATATACAAGAAGGCTTTTCCATTAGACCATTTTTTGTTAAAACTTCATCCAGCAACTCATAGAATTTTCTAGCGTCCCCTCGATTCATTCCCTGAGCCCTTGACAACGATTGACCCTCAGTTTGCCTAAGGTACAATTCAGGATTTCTGTCCAAGAATGAATGAAGCCATGCAAATCCTGCCTTTTCTGTTGCAGCTGAAAATGGGTGTTTTATCCCTAGCTTTTCAGCAAACCTAAACGCAAGTGTTCTAACTGTTCTTCTGTCTGGAGCAAAGCCAACGACTGACAAACGATGAATGTGCGCAACTAGTCTTGTTTCATTGGCCCTGCCCAAAATTCCTAAAACAAACAAAATTATTTTCAAAGAAATACCTTCTGGGTCAAGGCACCCTTCTTGAAATTGCCAGATGTTGTTCTCCTTTTTAGGGTACGAGGGGGTACATTATAGCGCCTGTGTGCCTCGCTTTTAGATATTTCTCCTGTCTGTACTTTTGCTACAGCCTCCATTAGTTGCTCATCCGACCAGGTGGCCCTTGGTCGAGCTGTATTTGATCGTATGTACTTACGAGGCATGATCTATAGACAAAATTATAAAAAAAATTGTTACACTTCTCCCAAATTAAAGCTTTTATAATTTTTTTCAATTATCATTCAAAGCGTCAGAAGTGCAAAAGTCATGTGATAACGAATGCGGTTTCTCTCCCGATAACAAAAGCGGCGACTATCCTTTTTGTGGGGATAGACGCCGCACCTGCCGTCTGTTAGAAGTGTTAACCCTTATATCCGCGATTTTTTCTAATATGGTAAAAAAATATATTTGATGTTAAATTACCTCTAGTTGCCACAAAAAATAGTTCAAAAAATCCAAATTCAGAAAAACTATTTATTTTTGCAATTTTTTAAATGTAGCATATCGTCGGCTAAATACGTTAAACTGCTAACTCCATTTTGTGAGGTTTACAGGAGGAACAAAAAACGATTTTACAACTAAGGTGTACATTTAAACAAGCCGGTATTAAAATTGAATGTTTTTGTTGATATTCTCAATGTGTTCACAAGAAAAAGATGTGAAAAAAATTACTATATTAGATTTTATGGACAAAAAATGGAGTTGGCAGTTGTTCATTTGAATAAAAATGGAGAAATTTTGGAGTTAGCAACTTTTATTTTTATTAGAACTTTTATTTTAGCGTATTCAAAATGATCAAAACATCTAACAAATGAAACATCTAATAATTCACAGGTGTGGCAAATTATTATAGAAATGGTGATAGTCTGCTGGAATGGTACACTTAATTTCTTGGAGGTCGGAATATTTTCGGGCAGATATTGGAATATTATCTTTATACAGATGGTCCAACTCTGTCCAGGCAATAATGTCAACTTGAGATTTTCTTTGCGGAAGTAATTCCCATTCATCAGACATCCGAAGTTTGTAATAGATGTCCCCTGCTGGTGTATATTTTAGGCCCCGAATATCAGTTACCTACAAATAAAAATTGAACAATTATATACCAAGCACTCTTATAATTTCGATGATTTTATTACTTTTGGTTCTCCTAGCTTTTTCCCTGGTCGAATACTTCTAATAGCTTCCACCTTTTTGAATGATCGGAAAAAAGAATGATCTAAGTACATTACTTCATAGGGCTTAGGATTTTTTCTAGCTTTTTTGCAGTGGTATGCATAATCTGCAGGGACGTTTATCCTTACTCGATTTACACGACGTTCTATTGTGGCATGCATGGAATCTACTTGCATTTGAGTATGTCCAACCTCTAAATATTTATGCTCAAGCGTAATATCATTTTTTCTGCATAAATTTAAAGCTGCATTAGCCAAAGTCACGTTTCTGTTCTGGTAGGTACAGCCATCACTCCACATTATTATCTTTCTGTTATCTTTTTCCATTGCTGGTATGACTTTTGTTTCCAAAAATGAGTAGAAACATGAGGAAAATTCTTCTGCTGTTAGTCCACCCTCCCCTTCATGCCATAAGAAGCAATAGCCATCTTTGTTGAGCATATTATAAAAGCAAAGGTTGTGAACGCATAATTTTGTCTTGTAATATAAGCTACAAACATTAGATTTAGGAGACATTAAAACAGCTTGAAGATCAACAGAAAATACGAATTTCTCGTTTTCCACATCCTTTTGTTTTTCTGCTCTGGCCTCATTTTTGTTTAATATATGAGCGTTATATTGTTCTTCACCTATGAAACCATTTTTGTATTTTTCACAGATTTCACATTGATCCTTTTTAGGACTGAACAGTGCCATATTCTTAGATTCAAATGCCTTGTTGAAACTCGTAATTGATAAGGATTTTATATATTTTCTTTGGCACCAATCAGTCTTATAAAATCTGTACAATTCCTCTTTTGAAGTCCATTCTGGTAGCAGGTAGTTTTTAGAGGAAGATGATCTACAGTAATGTGACTCCATTGTAGGCAGTGCATCAAGAAATTTGGTCAAGTTTTCATTTTCCTCTATAAACGGATTCTTTTTTTCATTTTGTTGTTTCCTATAGGTAGTAGGCGTGTTGTTTCCTTTCGAATTGAAATCCTCAACAGAGTTGTCAAAACTGCCAAGTTTTTGCTTCCATTTTTGAACACTCATGCGTCCCAAGCCCAAAGTATTCAGGTACATTTTTCTGCAAACTCTAATTTCTTCTTCCTTTATTTTTAGATAGTAAATGAATGTTTGACTCCTTCTTGATGTCTGTGCGTCTTTTCTATCTCTTGGCCTGGCCACAGGACAAGATTTCACGGTGTTGTCCACATACATTTTTTTTTCGCCCCACTTTAAGGTCCAAAAGTATTCAAATATATATTTACGTTTTTCATTCGAAACTAATTGACATTTTAGCACACCATTTTGTTTAGTTTTGCATGCACGTCTCTCTTTTATCTCTTTCGGTTGACGTTCAATATCGTAGTTCCATTTACCATTAATTTTGGCTCGTCCAAAATACCGTTTTCCCCTTTCACACCGAATTTTATTTTTTTCTCCATACCAAGCAGCTTTTTGAACTTGAAACCTTTTTTTTTCGCTTATTGCTTTTTGTAGGCATCTCATCGCTGTCCGAATTTGAATAGTCTACTAGTTTCGGGGGAGTGTAGTCGCGATCACTTGATGTAGCTGATATTTCAAGGGACGGAGTAGTTTGATTATTATTTGAGGTAACTAAGCAATTATTTTCCGGCTCTATTAGTTCCTGTACATTATTTGTATTTGTAGCAATCTGAATCTTGTCTTCAATGATTTTTTCACTTTCTTTTTCAACAATATATTCGTTTTTATCTTCCACTATTCTTTCTTTTGTTTTGGTTATACCAGTACTTTGGGCTTCATCTACACTCATTGTCTTCAGTCATGTTCTCATCCATCATATCTTCCAAGGCACTATTCGTCATGGGGATCATGAAATCATAATTTTCTAGCAGAGACAAAGAAAGGTCAGCTGTTTGGGGCGTTTCGACGGTTTCGATCAAAACATTTTCAACTACGTTATAATGATGTATTGAAACTGGACTAATATTTTCCTTGTCGTCGAATCTTTTTGTGGCAGCAGCCGTCTCATCAGTAGCTAACTGGATAATTTTCTGTGTCCGTGATGACATCATACCTAATGAATAAGATTTAAATAGTATTTTTATTAATGTAACATCTGAAACTTATCCTATGTCCTTGATCCATCACCTGGAGGATAGATGAAAAGTATTGTCAAACTGATTAATGTACGTTGATGAAGACCACAGCTCGTGGTCGAATCTTTTTCGCATTAAAATCAATTTTTCAAGATCTGGTTTTATTACTGGCCAGAGGAAAGAAAATGGATCAAATATTTTTTGTTTTTAATCAATTCTACTCTAACTCAAGAAGTCAATTTCATAAAAAAAAACAATAATAAATACTGCTATCTCCCAAATATGACCAAGCGTAAGTTAAAAGAAACGCTGTCAACTCCAGCGTAACGGTAATTTTGTTTACTGCAAACCAAAATAAACATATTTTTACAAAATCGAACTTACTTTTCATCAAAAAGTATTACTGGAACACCAAAATGGTCTCGAACTGTAATATTTCAAACAGAAACCACGTTTATTCTATAGCTGAAGAGCGTCTGAATAGCACACGTGCACAACATGTAACATTGTTTTGACTGGAGATAGCAGTATTTCGATTAATAAAGTGTGGGGAGCAGTTGGCAGCATTACTCATTATGACTTTTCAATCAGTTTTCGTACCAACTTGACAAACATTTAGTTTTGGCATGATAGAAAAGGAGACATAGTTGCCAAATCGGTAAATATCTCCAAAGTGATGAAAATGGAGTTAGCAGCTTAACGCATTTAGCCGACGATATGTGCTACAGCGAACATTACAACTTGAATATGCAAATCACGGAACTATACTGTTTGGTATCTTACAGAAATAGGACTTAACCTTTTGGAATATGCTTTTAACATTTTATTTATGGAAATCATGAAAACAGTTTTTAGCTTTGTTAAAGCACAGCGAGGTTTGGCATTTTTCACCGCACTTGGGAAGTTTACAACGTAAACGTTTTTACATCCATACGGGCCAGTGTGGGCTCTCGTCAACCCGTACCTCCCTAGGAGGAATAGTACAGTTACGAGAGCGTCGTTTCTGTTGGATTTTCTTTTCCAAATCAGATTTACGTCCTCTTGAGTTTTGACGGATACCTATTTTGCAAAGTGTTTCTCCTAAGTCAATCCTAAAATTTGCCAGCCCAAGTGTTTTCTGTATCTTCCTTCCGATCATTACTCTCCTATATAAAAGCCAAGCATTTACTATTGTCATGTCCAAATGGTAATAAAAAAGTCTGAAATACCACTTCCTTGATTTGAGCTTGATACGGTATCGACCAATGTTATCAAAATCTTATGGGAGCGCGTCGTCATCGTTATCTGAAGTTTCTAGTCCGTCTTCACTGACTTCAGACAAATGTCGTGTCGAATCGCGACTTGATGCTTATCACTGGTTGTTCCTGTGATTGGGTGCAGACCTGTTAAAATATTATTAATATTATAATTTGATGTTAAATTACCTCTAGTTGCCACAAAAAATAGTTAAAAAAACCCAAATTCAGAAAAACTATTTATTTTTGCATTTTTTTTAATGTAGCATATGTGCTACAGCGAACATTACAACTTAAATATGCAAATCACGGAACTATACTGTTTGGTATAGTACAGAAATATGACATAACCTTCTGGAATATGCTTTTAACATTTTATTTATGGAAATCATGAAAACAGTTTTTACCTTTGTTAAAGCACAGCGAGGTTTGGCATTTTTCACGCATGACGTACGTAAACCCACCGCACTTGGGAAGTTTACAACGTAAACGTTTTTACATCCATACGGGCCAGTGTGAGCTCTCGTCAACCCGTACCTCCCTAGGAGGAATAGTACAGTTACGAGAGCGTCGTTTCTGTTGGATTTTCTTTTCCAAATCAGATCTACGTCCTCTTGAGTTTTGACGGATACCTATTTTGCAAAGTGTTTCTCCTAAGTCAATCCTAAAATTTGCCAGCGCAAGTGTTTTCTGTATCTTCCTTCCGATCATTACTCTCCTATATAAAAGCCAAGCATTTACTATTGTCATGTCCAAATGGTAATAAAAAAGTCTGAAATACCACTTCCTTGATTTGAGCTTGATACGGTATCGACCAATGTTATCAAAATCTTATGGGAGCGCGTCGTCATCGTCATCTGAAGTTTCTAGTCCGTCTTCACTGACTTCAGACAAATGTCGTGTCGAATCGCGACTTGATGCTTATCACTGGTTGTTCCTGTGATTGGGTGCAGACCTGTTAAAATATTATTAATATTATAATTTGATGTTAAATTACCTCTAGTTGCCACAAAAAATAGTTAAAAAAATCCAAATTCAGAAAAACTATTTATTTTTGCATTTTTTTTAATGTAGCATATGTGCTACAGCGAACATTACAACTTGAATATGCAAATCACGGAACTATACTGTTTGGTATCTTACAGAAATAGGACTTAACCTTTTGGAATATGCTTTTAACATTTTATTTATGGAAATCATGAAAACAGTGTTTAGCTTTGTTAAAGCACAGCGAGGTTTGGCATTTTTCACCGCACTTGGGAAGTTTACAACGTAAACGTTTTTACATCCATACGGGCCAGTGTGGGCTCTCGTCAACCCGTACCTCCCTAGGAGGAATAGTACAGTTACGAGAGCGTCGTTTCTGTTGGATTTTCTTTTCCAAATCAGATTTACGTCCTCTTGAGTTTTGACGGATACCTATTTTGCAAAGTGTTTCTCCTAAGTCAATCCTAAAATTTGCCAGCCCAAGTGTTTTCTGTATCTTCCTTCCGATCATTACTCTCCTATATAAAAGCCAAGCATTTACTATTGTCATGTCCAAATGGTAATAAAAAAGTCTGAAATACCACTTCCTTGATTTGAGCTTGATACGGTATCGACCAATGTTATCAAAATCTTATGGGAGCGCGTCGTCATCGTCATCTGAAGTTTCTAGTCCGTCTTCACTGACTTCAGACAAATGTCGTGTCGAATCGCGACTTGATGCTTATCACTGGTTGTTCCTGTGATTGGGTGCAGACCTGTTAAAATATTATTAATATTATAATTTGATGTTAAATTACCTCTAGTTGCCACAAAAATAGTTAAAAAAATCCAAATTCAGAAAAACTATTTATTTTTGCATTTTTTTTAATGTAGCATATGTGCTACAGCGAACATTACAACTTGAATATGCAAATCACGGAACTATACTGTTTGGTATCTTACAGAAATAGGACTTAACCTTTTGGAATATGCTTTTAACATTTTATTTATGGAAATCATGAAAACAGTGTTTAGCTTTGTTAAAGCACAGCGAGGTTTGGCATTTTTCACCGCACTTGGGAAGTTTACAACGTAAACGTTTTTACATCCATACGGGCCAGTGTGAGCTCTCGTCAACCCGTACCTCCCTAGGAGGAGTAGTACAGTTACGAGAGCGTCGTTTCTGTTGGATTTTCTTTTCCAAATCAGATTTACGTCCTCTTGAGTTTTGACGGATACCTATTTTGCAAAGTGTTTCTCCTAAGTCAATCCTAAAATTTGCCAGCCCAAGTGTTTTCTGTATCTTCCTTCCGATCATTACTCTCCTATATAAAAGCCAAGCATTTACTATTGTCATGTCCAAATGGTAATAAAAAAGTCTGAAATACCACTTCCTTGATTTGAGCTTGATACGGTATCGACCAATGTTATCAAAATCTTATGGGAGCGCGTCGTCATCGTCATCTGAAGTTTCTAGTCCGTCTTCACTGACTTCAGACAAATGTCGTGTCGAATCGCGACTTGATGCTTATCACTGGTTGTTCCTGTGATTGGGTGCAGACCTGTTAAAATATTATTAATATTATAATTTGATGTTAAATTACCTCTAGTTGCCACAAAAAATAGTTAAAAAAATCCAAATTCAGAAAAACTATTTATTTTTGCATTTTTTTTAATGTAGCATGTGTGCTACAGCGAACATTACAACTTAAATATGCAAATCACGGAACTATACTGTTTGGTATATTACAGAAATATGACATAACCTTTTGGAATATGCTTTTAACATTTTATTTATGGAAATCATGAAAACAGTTTGTACCTTTGTTAAAGCACAGCGAGGTTTGGCATTTTTCACGCATGACTTACGTAAACCCACCGCACTTGGGAAGTTTACAACGTAAACGTTTTTACATCCATACGGGCCAGTGTGAGCTCTCGTCAACCCGTACCTCCCTACGAGGAATAGGACAGTTACGAGAGCGTTGTTTCTGTTGGATTTTCTTTTCCAAATCAGATTTACGTCCTCTTGAGTTTTGACGAATACCTATTTTGCAAAGTGTTTCTCCTAAGTCAATCCTAAAATTTGCCAGCCCAAGTGTTTTAGTATCTCCCTTCTGATCATTAACTCTCCTATATAGAAGCCAAGCATTTACTATTGTCATGTCCAAATAGTGATAAAAAAAGTCTGAAATACCACTTCCTTGATTTGAGCTTGATACGGTATCGACCAATGTTATCAAAATATTATGGGAGCGCGTCGTCATCGTCATCTGAAGTTTCTAGTCCGTCTTCACTGACTTCAGACAAATGTCGTGTCGAATCGCGACTTGATGCTTATCACTGGTTGTTCCTGTGATTGGGTGCAGACCTGTTAAAATAAATATTATTTAATATTATTATAGATTAGTCTGGATTAGCACATAGGCTACTTTTTATTCCAGAAAATAACTTTGAAATATGTATTTCATGAGCTACAACCCAAAGCGGTTAATGTAATTTGGCATGTATCTACCCCCCCCCCCCCCCCCACAAATTTTGCCCCTTTTCCCCGAAATTGACTCCATCGCACACGCATCGCGGAAGCACGTGGTGAACATTTCATCCAACTGTCAGTTCTCGACTTTTATGGACGGCCTCTTTCTTGGGGGTCCAGCGCTGGGGGCATTGACATAAGCCCCTCATTAAGGTTGGTGAGCCTTCACTCTTTCCTCGTCGACTCGAGTCAGTCGGTCAGTCAGTTTGCTGTTTGACTTCGTCTCCTGAGGTTAGCCTCGAGTCCGTGCTTGACTCTGGCCACCTCAATCGACAGGCTTCTTTTTGTCCACCCGTTGTACACGGGCTGTTCTTTCCCCTCTTGAGAGTACAACTATTGTCGGTCTTCTTCCCTTTTCTCTGGCCTCATCACCTGCTAGGGCCAAATGTCTTCTTGTTGCAGCTGGCTTTTCGGTCTTCTATGTCGCCTTCTTTTCAAAGAACTTTCGGGCCCTCTCTCACATCTGGATTACGACCCGTACCTGTCGGAGTTCGTCATATAGCACACTGCCTCACGGAGTGCTATGTTTTGTTGGGCTTGGAGCCTCTTCTTCAACGTTTTGGCAACGTAGCCCCAAGCTACTGCTGCGTATGTTATGATTTGTAGCAGCACCATCTGAATCATGATGGTCTTATTCTTTAACACGTTCAGCGCCAAATGCCTACCGGTGGACATTTGTATTTTACCAGCGGGACCACAGGAACAGGAACACAAAGTTCCTAAGCGTACCCACCACCTCCCTGGTCCAGGTACCCTTACTCTTTCCGGCCCCAGTGGCGGTATGTGGACTGGACGCTCCTGCAACTTGTGTTCCTGTCGGACGCAAACCCCACCCCCCACCCAATTTTGCCCTTTAAATTTTCGCGTTTTTCCCCCTCTCGGAATTTTGCCCCGCCAAAAGGTGTGGTAAGCTAATCTCGACGCGGAAGCACGGCTGCAGAACGGAAGTGGTCATTTTTACTCGTGTACCTTTCTCCGGTTTTACGAGTCGTCCTCTATTTGGGGTTCCATCGGTGGGACCTTGACCTGAGGTCCACATTAAGGTTTCCCAAGACGGCTTTTGGGTTCTTCGGTTTTTTGACCTTCTTTCTTGAGTGTTGCCTCCTGACCACGCCTAGAAATGCCGAAGTCGTCAGAAGGCCTGCTTGTTAGTGCCATCTAAATGCCCCGCACCTCAAATGAGATCGGTGCATTCAGCATGGCAAATCTTCGCCGTCTGACCACCGGTACTGCACAGGACTTTGCCTCTCTTGCATGCAGTACCTTCCTCGCGAGGTTCTACCCCTCTTCTTTAGGACTCATCAGCTGCTGTGTCCCATATCTTCTAGCAGCTGGCTTTTCGGTCTTTTGTGCCTGTGTATGAACCTTGGATCGTAGTCCAAGGCGGCCTTGATGAGCTGGTTCTCGTGTTCTTCGGCGTTGTTGAAGAACTTCCGAGCTCTGGTCTTCATCATTTCGAGCACTGGCACTTGTCTCAGGTCTTCGTATAGCACTCGGTTTGGCACGTGCCACGGTGCGTTGACCGCTTCTCGGAGTGCTATGTTCTGTTGTGCTTGGAGCTTCTTCCTCCACGTCTTGGCTGCGTAGCCCCAAGCAACTGACGCGTAGGTCATAATCGGTAGGAGCACCATCTTGATCAGCAGCATTTTGTTGTTCAGGGAGAGCTTGGCTCTTGCCATCTTGGCTTTCGTCACTTGGGCTTCTATATGGTTCCAGGTAAGACCCTTATTTATCTTGACGCCAAGGTACGTGCTGGTGTCTGTCCACTGTACCTCTTTTTCTTCGTCACGCACCTGGCCTCTCAGCACTTCTGTGGTCGTCATCTTGAGGTTGCCTTCAGGGGTCTTGAGGTTTTTTCTGAGGAGCATCGCCTCGGTCTTGTCTGGATTTAGCTGGATCCTCCATTTCTTGCACCATTCCTGTTGACTGGTTGTCGCTCTTTGTAGGTAAGTCGTAGCCATGCGGGGCTGAAGTGACTCGGCTACATACGCAGTGTCGTCCGCATACATCAGCAGCTGTGTATTCGGGGTCTTCGGAACATCGGAACTGTAGATGGCGGATAGTAGTGGGGATAGGACCGCTCCCTGCGGTACTCCAGCCTCTGCAGTTCTAGTCGTCGACGTGGTGTTTCCCAGTCTAACCCGGAATCTTCGGTTCTTCAGATATGACTTCACCAGCTGAATCATCCCTGTCGAGTATCCCTTGTCTTGCATCTTATAGATGAGTCCGTCGTGCCAGACGGTGTCAAATGCCTTCGCGACATCCATGAACACCGCTCCCGCGACTCGTCGAGGGAAGGGAGTCAGTAAGCTGATTGGCCGGTAGTTTTGTGGAAATCTTGGGTCTTACCCAGGCTTCGGGATGTTTATTACTTCCGCAATCTTCCATCTATCCGGGAAGTATCGGTGCCTCAGCATAGCGTTGACGATGTTGGTTATGGCCACCATTCCCTTTCTCGGGAGCCTCTTCAGGATTCTGTTCCCTATTCGGTCGCAGCCCGCTGCTTTCCTGGTCTTGAGGGTCTTGATGATATCCCTGATTTCCGTCGGAGAAGTGGCTTGCTGCACCATTTCTCCTCCTCTCGTAGCTCTTCTGGATCTTCTTTCCACTTCCTCTACGAAGTCTTCGTCCTCATCTGGGTGCATGTATGTCGTACACTGTTGTAGGTTATCGGCAAATGCTTCGACCTTCTCGTCGTTCGTGTACGCGGTCCCGTAGGCTCCTTGCAGCGGGGGAACTTGTCTGCGATTTCTCATGATCTTCGCTAGCTTCCACATTCCTGGCTCACCTGGTGTTAGTTCCTCTAGTTTTCTTTGCCAGCTGCATTGATGATGGTGCTCCATCAGGGCTTTTCTCATATCTTCGCTCTTCCTTTTTAGCTCTCGTTTGTGCTCTGGATCTCCTGTTCGTTGAGCTAGTCTTCTTGCCCTGTTCCTGTCGGTGATCTTCTGGTTCACCTGTGGAGGTAGGTCTCTGAACCTGTTGGGCTGCGTGATGTCTTCTACCGTGGTAGTAGCATCTAGCGCATCCTGGATCTTCCGTTCTAGGCCCTGAACTGATTCCTCTATGCCTTCAGGAGTCTCTATCTGAGGTAGTGGGCCGAGTGAGTAGTGAATGCTTCGCCGGAACCGGTCCCAGTTCACTCTTCTGGCTATCCTCTTCTCCACGTTTGGTGGTCCCTCTCCTATTTCCAGGTATATGGGGTTGTGGTCAGAGCTTCCTTCTTGCAGAACACCAATGTTGCAAGACACGTCTACCTTTTTCAAGATAGCAATGTCTATTACATCGGGCCTTGTACCGTTGTCTGGGTACAGCGTGGGTTCGTCAGGTCCTAGTATGGAGTACTCCGGTTCATCCATCAGCCTCGCAAGGATTTCGCCATGTCGGTTGCTCGTGCGCGAGCCCCAGATCCTTGATTTGGCGTTGAGGTCTCCTATGATTACAATGCTCTCGCCCATTCCGGTGATTTGCGTGATGTCGTCCAGATGAAGAGTCACCATTGGTGGTATATATACCGAGACGATGTTCAGCGTGCCGTAGTCCTCCGTGTACACGGCTATTCCTACTGCTTCTGTGGTCCTCAGATCGGGGATTCCTAGCGGGTCGTGGTTGATGCTGCTCCTTACGGAGATCAGCACGCCTCCGCCTCTCTGGTCTCGGTCCTTCCTGTACGTCCTGTACCCTGGGAAGGTCCAGTTTGGAACTCTGCTTGAGAGCATTGTCTCTTGTAACGCCATCACATCGTAGTCCCCTCGAGTTAGCAGTTCTCCTATCTCGTACTTCTTGTTGGTAACACTGTGTACGTTCCAACTCAATATCCGTAGGGTCCTAGATATTGGCAGGCTGCCCATTTAGTTGGCGTTTCTTCTGTTCTTGCTTGTCATGAATGCCTCCTTGGCTTCGGGGGTTTTCATGATGAGCCTCTTCATTTGGGCCATGTGGGTTTCTATGAACCTCTTTAGTTCATCCCCATCTTCTTCTTCCCGGTTTATGGAGGGTCTTTCCTGCCTTCGGGGTGCCGTCTCCTCGCTTCTTGCAGCCCTTGCGTAGCTCTGCCTGGTCTTACTGGGGCTGGCTTCGTGATCTTTTTCTTCTCCGCGGCGGGTTTGCTCTTTGGTTTTGAGCTAGGGCATCTTGGGCATCCCCCATAGTTCGCTGGCTGGCTCCCACTACAGTTGGCGCAGGTTGCCGCTTTTTCCTGTGGCACTTTGCACTCCGATGCGCGATGTGCCCCTGCACATCTCACGCACTTCGGTGCCCCGGAGCAGTTCTGCTGGCTGTGCCCGAACTGCTGGCACCTGTAGCACTGGCCCGGTCCTTCTCTCTTCCTCTGTGCCTCTATTTTTACGATCATCTGACAGCATTCTGTCAGATCGTATATCCTCTTCTCTTCTTTTGGAAGATCCACCTTGACGAGCGGGATCTTCTTCCTGGTTCGCCTGGTTAGTCTGTTGACTCTTCTTGGGTGGAATCCTTTAGATTCCAGGTCCTCTTTAATTTCATCCTCCCCCGTCATCAGTAGCATGCCCCTGATGATTACTGACAGGGATTTTTCGTCTGGCAGGGAGTAGGTGTGGTGTTCCACCTTGTTCTCCTCGAGCGTCTTCCTTACGCTTCGGAATTCATCCTCGGTCGTCAGTTGGACATTTATGCCGGTCCTGGTAAGTTTTGCCGGCTTGTCGGCTGGGATCTTCTTTCCCTTCTTCATTGTTTGCCACTGGTCTTCCCTATGTATATATAGGGGTGGCGGCCGGCCTTCTTGTTTTGGGCTTGGGAGCTGGCTGGGCCTGCTCGGTGTCCATCCTGTACTCGGTTGACGGGGGGGGGGGAGGTCTTCTCCTTCTCCTCCTCAGTCTTATCAGCCTTCCTCTTGGTGTTGGTCTTTTTGGGATCTTC